CGAGGCAGTAAACTTTAATTTTCTTGAACAACTACAAGAGTTTGAAAGATAAAGTTAGTATTTTCTAATCTAATTAATTAATGTGAAAAGAAAGAAAATGGCTCAAAGCTGAATTCATTGTGAGAGAAAAAAACAATTTATTTTTTATTGCACTTTGTTCGGCAAATATTAGAAATAATGAAAGATATTTTATTATAAGTGTTTTATAATAATGAAAGATATTTTATTATAAGTGTTTTAAGCTACGACAAAAAATATCAAAAGATAATAAGAGTTATACATGTAATAAAAATAAATAATCTTAAAAGAGTTAATTAATTTCAAGACTACAAAATGATTTAATAATTCGAGAAGAAGTCCAAATTTTTAAGGCTAGTTAAAGTCATACGATTAAGGATAGACTATTTAATTGAAAAATTAAATTTAAATATCTATCTATCTCTAAAAATTTTAAATTTTGAAAACAGATATTTATTTGTATTAAGAATTATGAATGTGAGAAACATGATGACGTTATAATTTTAATTTCCATTTTGAAATTATCATTGCAATGATTAGATTTATATTTGTTCCAACTTCACTCCTGAAGAGTGATAGAGTTTGTTAGATATCAAGAGATTTAATTGGAACGATTGCAATGATTTTGCTTGTTAGAGGTATTAGAGCATTTAATTGGACGAGTTTCTAGAAACGGCTAGAGTAGTTTATGACACTAATAAATGGAAGCGATTCGTCGGCAATAATTACGGATTACAGAAAAACTTTATGGAACCATCGTATTATTTGTTGGGATTTACTTCCATTTATTGTTCACTAATACTTATTGTTTGTTATTATATAAGTAGGAATTAATATTTTATTATAATTAAAAAATTCCATTTTTATTCCATTTAAAAATGAAATTTTAATAGAGACACTTCCAAAATTTTTACTATTTCTTTAGTAATATTTGTTATTATTCTTATATTTTTGTCTACGTCATTTTATGTCGCTTATTCCTTTTTTTACGCAATTTTTCTATTATTTCTAGTTTTATTTTTACGCCACTTATATTTGCATTCCTATCCTCTACAATCATTTTATGTGTGTTTATTGAAACGGATGACTCTCGCAAAGAAATGCAGCTTCATCGATCTTCTCGAAGCATTGCTTCGTTCGCGGGGGAAACGTCTTCGACTATTTCCGTACGTTTGCACGCGGGCACGAAAACATGAAGCTGCCACCGCGACGCTGCCATCCCTTCTTCCCCGCTCTCGCATCGGTGAGACAAATCGATGCTTCATGAATTTACAGCGGATGAGCCGCTCGGTCGTTTCATGAAATAGCGCGTTACAAACCGATCCCCATCGATTCGCTGCGATTTGTAAACCATCGGTCGCTTCAGCCCCTCACCCTCACCCTCACCCTCGCTCTCCTTTGCCATGAGGAGACGCAGCTGCTAAGTTTTCGTCCAACAAGATAAGCGAAGCAATTGTACCACGAGATGTCCTGGGTGGAGTCGCTTTTTCCCAAAATGGATTTCTGTGAATCGCTAATATGCTGAGAAAGATTTAATGGAATTCCCCGACTTTAGAAGAGAGTTTGCAAAATACCGCAATGTCCCGAAAGATGTATTACGCCGGCAAGAAGTATGCCAGCATTTTGTAGTTTGCCTTTTCTTACAGGACACTTATCCTGAACTTGGAATATCCACATTTTTCAAGATATGATTAGACTTTGAATTTAGTTTCTTGTATGAGTTTAAAAACTTTTTATCTTAAAATATATTAAACGTTTACGTTTAAGAATATATCATTTTCTACACTTCTAAATTCTTTTCTTTTACCGCCTTCCAAATTTTTTCAATTTTCCTACTTTTATTTATATCTATATTTTTATTATTTCAAATATAACGTATTATTGTTATAATCTTCAATATTTCAAAAATAAACGCAGATTATCCATGCAAATCTTTTTCTTCTTTTTTTTTTACTATAGTATATATTAATAATTGCATACGAACTTTAGTTCCTAGTTTCAAATATGTTCTAGGACATTACATCGAAATTGATATGGCCGAAACTGATATGATGTTCTTTCATAGGATTAACGCAAGATAAGCTACGTAAGTTCGGTAAACTCCCAAGCTCACTTGCGCGTTATTTTACAGGCGGCTTTTACCTTTGCCTGACAATAAAGCTAGCACTCGGCTCACTGCTATCCCGAAGCCACCCTTTACGCATCAGCATAATGGAAAAGTTATCGAAACGCTTTAGAACGGATCTTGAAAGTTACGGCAACAAATTCGCGAACGTTAACTTATCGGCTTCTTCTTTAGACGCCCTCAAAACTAATAATGTATCATGATGCTATCAGTTTTCATGTTGGGAAAGGAAAGCCGATAAGAGAAAAATGTTTACCGATGTTGGAACTATACGAGCATGACTAACTGTATCCAACAGTACAATCTCAACTTTTGATTGATCGTAACTGATATCACGTCATAGTTTTGGATAGATTTATAGAATACAATTTAAAATTATTATTTTGTAACCATAAAATTGCCAAAAGTATAAATTATTAAATGTTACTCGGTTAAAATATTAGAGAGATTAATAAAATGTAAATTACTAGATCCGTAAAATTGAAGATTGATATATTATTATTATAAATTATCTTAGACAGATTTTGCTGCTTATTTTATACAGACTAGTTTATCCGATTAACTTTATATGATTCAGTTTGTGCAAATCATTTTACGAGAACATTATTGAAAAGCATTTTGAAGCGATGAATATGGAATATTGATGTTGGAATTAGCGAGCTCTTTTGCAATCTAATTAATGTGGTGTCTGTTTACCATACTGACCATATTTAACAGACATAACATCAACAAAATTACAACATGAATATACAGGGCCGCGTAGCTTCCTTTAACGACACATTTGTCAGCGACTTTGAATTAAATTATTCGCCATATTTACAATTTTATTAAAAAAAAAATGAAGAGATACTTTTTGCATTTTCACGGCGAAGGCAACCGATTTCTAATGAGGTCGTGGTAGTTTATCGTGGAAGCATATCAGAAATTATGAACGTGGCCGTAAACGGGAGCCAACACTTTTCTAGTTGCAAGATGGCCGCAATGGGTATCGTGCAGCGGGCGCAACTCCCATTAAGCATCTTCAAGCTGCAAGTAGACCGGACTAACTGCACCATGCTCGACTTCTTACATTCTAATGAATATAAATATCGCCCTCTCGCTCCGTCCAGATCTCTTCTCCTCGGCCTCCGTACCCTCCGTATAATTGTTTCCGAGGGAGCTCCTAGACTTCCAGATAAAGTTCCTATTATTTTACTAACAGTGCTTCCCCCATTGCTTCTGCACCAGCCTCTCTAACAATCCTTCTCGCCCCTTCTCTCTCACCGCTAGCTTTCGTATTCTACTCTCCGATAGCGGTCGAGAGCGGTGCTCGAAGTGGACTCGCATCGCTCGATAAAATCTTCCGTGGCTCCACAAATTTTATTTATCGCATTCTGAAAGTGCTTGTTTAACACGTACGTTCGAAACATATCGCTCGCCGAGAATCGATACGCGCCCCCGTGCTTGCCACGCCCCCGCGTTTATTTTGATGAAATTCCTAAGAGAGAAACATATCGCGTTTAAAAGTCAAATCCGTGGAAAATCGATAAAGATATTAATAACGATTTAATCTCAAGGTGCCAAAAGTCACCAGCTCCTTGCTCACTTCCTAACGAATTTTTGTCACCTTGAATTCTGACATCAAACGTTTTTGAACTAAATACAGCCTTGCTGGCTGTATTTAGTTCTAAGTCTTGGAATTCTAAATTTGTCAATTTCTATATCTTGAATTTTTGGCATGCACCTTGCACCTTTGATTCCGCGAATCATTAACATTTCCATTTTAGATTTTCAATGTTCCTTTCTCAAGAATTTATTTTCTTAAGTTCTTGGCATTTTATCAAATAGTTAAAATTCTCTATATTTTAATTATTGGAATTTTAAATTTCTATTTGCGTGAAAAAACATTTTCATGTGCCCTTGGCATAATATGCGTAACGACTAAGAACGTCAAATTGTAGCGATTTTAATTACGTTGTCGTACGTTTCATTATGAAACCATTGTAATAATATTGCAACGTGATATCTGCAATATTGATTGCTGCGATATTGAATGTCAAATGTAAAAAGCTTTTAAATGATAGCAAGTCAACGGCACTGTCATTCAATATGATTCTCTTTTTTTGTGCCCAGTAGCACAGCGGGCATTTATATTTCATTCCTTGCAGGAGCCAGTGACGGTCGGGATATCATTAAAATATTTATTTCCCGGCCGCGGAAATAGCTATTTCGACGCAAACAGGGTCGCTGAAGCTCGTATTATGCGCGAGAGAACGAGGCGCACATGTTCGCGAACTATTGTTGATCTCGACATATTATCTTCAATTAGCTGACAGAAGTGACACAAACCCTTTTCAGTTGACCAGGGTTTAAACTTCACTTAACCCGCATTAAATTACGCATTTCAATGTAGGTTGTATAACGATGTCTGTCTTAATCTTCCGAGTGAGTCTCTTCGCCAGGATTACACGCTAGGATAGCAGGATTGTTGGGAAGCATTTAGGATTTAGTAGACGAAAATTACGAGCAAGGAGTTAGACGAAAATACGGAAGCGACGCTTCGAGATCACTTTAAACGGTATTATGATGACAGCAATGCCGTCAAAGTAATTATCGTCTGAAAGCATAATCTTTAGTTAGATATCGAAATTGCTTAATTTTCATTACAGACTTTTCGATACAATGTAATTAATAGTCATGTAAATATTTTCAATTTAAAGACAATATAATATTACAATTATTTTCTTAACGACATGAAAAGAAATGGACGATTAAAAGTTTCTTGTGAAAATTTAAGATTTTAAAATCTTAGACCCTTAAAAACTCAGAAGAATGAAGAAATTCTTAGATATGTTGGAAAAAGGAACTTAATGGATTTCATGAATGAAAAATTACATTCGAAAGTCTTAAAAATATTATAAAAGGTTATTCAAGAATATTATCCAGAAGATAAATTCAGAAGAATCCAAATCTAGTATTGAAGGCTTTCCGTTTGGAATTCGAGCCCCAACATTTGTGCATTCCGGAACTTGGTGTCTTTCTCAACATAACAAAGGGACGTACTCGCGTGGGTTTAATCGATTGAGACGGCAGATAATCGTGGCACTCGCGGTGGAGCTTCCGGCATGTAACAGAACATCGTAAGTCCTCTTAACATGACTCGCACAATGGCGGGGAGTAAGGCCGGTGTGTTTCCACTGACCGGGTCAGTTCCATAATACCACGCGGACGGCGGCGCGGCAAGAGCCGAGCGTGGGATGAATGTTACATGTGCATGCCACTCAGCAGATTGCAGCCGACTGAAGTGCAGTCAGATATGCCGCACAACGATAGTAGCATCATCCTCGAATGGCGCGGACATTAGCGATGGCGCTCGTCGAAAATCTAAGCTGTCCATTGGCGTAACTTTGGTAAACAATCTTATCTAAATGTGTTGCTTACAGCAAAAGAAGTGCTCTTCTTGCTCGTTTCACGTAATTAACGCATAGTCAACTTTTAATTTAATAGAGAAAGAATTAAAATTATTCAATCATACGTCAATTGTTGAGAGTCTTTCGAATAATTGATAAGGAATTGATAGTATTAGAAAATAGAAAACACAAAATACAAAAATACTAATATGGAATTGCTATAAAAAAGTTAAAAACTTATATTAAAACACACATATATCAAGAAAATTTTAAATTTAATTTTTAAAAAACAATACAGATATCAATGTAATGAAATTGTTTAAAATGAAATTAAAAAAAAAAATATATATATATACAGATATCCAAAGCTCCACAAATTTCCACTAAAGGTTAACAATTCCAACAATCTAAAGTACTGAAGTTTCACAGATTGAAATTTCCAAAGATTCAAAGTTTCAAAGTTTGAAAGTTCTAATGGCTAGAAGTTTCAAAGGTCCAGTGTTCTAAATATCTGAACTTTTGGGCAGGTACTAAGACGACGCCAATGTAAAGAGTAGTTTGCCATCATAAAAATGCCGAGCGGTCATCTATACATCCGTGGTACGACGCGGTCGAAATAGTTAAATAGAGATAATGGACCGGAATGGGATTGGCTCCTCGATGATGCTGCTCGTTCGGATTATGAAGATGGATGAAAGCAATCACACTCGCCGCAGGCGAGTCCGTAACTTCACATTTTCCGAGAACAAATCATGATCTGAACGTCCATTCTCTTCTCTATTTTTTCGTCATTTTACATATTACTTCGGCATTTCTGTCATTGTAAACACAGTAAAACATATGAAATGCGACTTGAAGATAATGGATTCATTGTTATCATCACTAACGAAAAAAATATTTTTAATATTATATTGTTATCTATTATTGTTATCTATTATTATCGTGTATGTAAATAAATATTTGATAAAACAAGATTATGTTTATACATGTATGTTACACATATATATCTCATAGATATATACCAATTAATAATACAATTGTATTAACATATACAACTATATAAATATATACGATTTAATCATCATGTATTTCATTATTTTCTTGTAATTTATATAATAAGTATAATAATTAATAATAATTTGATTGATTACTGATTAATATTATTGTACACAGTTGCTAATAATAATAACAATTATATTACATTATTTTAATTCTAAGTTTTGAAATACCTTTTATTGAATTTTAACATTGATAATTTGCTATTCTGATTATCCGCATTGTCTTTATCGAAGGAGCAAACACTAGACATTGTAAAAGCCTAATCTCAAAATCTCTAATCTCAATCCTAGCAACTGAGAGATAAAGATATAAATAACAGTTACCAAATCGGTGCAATGATTAAAACGCGACGCAGGGTATTACTTAGAGGATATTTTCAGTCTGTGAGAATAGTCGTTCTTCATTTAATTATTTTCTCCCGATATCTCACGGCACTCTGAATCCATCTGTAAATTAAGTTGGCCACTGCTGCATTCTGAAGAGGTGGTGCGCCAGCAAAGATTGCGCAAAGCAAAGCTCACAGACACCTGCAACCCTCGCTTTGCTCGGTACAAAGGAAAGGCCCTCTATTCTTTTTCAGCACGCGTCTCTCACCTCGGCATTCAATTATCCGCCAAGGGCAATGGAGTCACTGACTTCTCAACAGAGAACCTACCTCTTAACGCGTTTCCGCGCTAGCCTCCAAGCGAACAATTTATGAGTGTTTTCTTCAAGAATGCATTTAACCTCAGAATACTGGGAGGTGGATAGGCGTATTGTACTGTAAATTCGACATCTACAATTTTCTCAGTATAGGGTGCCTTTGCATGCAGCCTGTTGGGAGAAAATTGTATTTTTAATGCCCCATTCACGAGATAATTGAATCAATTGTTTGAGAAACTAAACAAGTCAACTGTCATGCATTTGAGAAAATTAGTTGTTTATTTTATTCAAATCTCACGATTAAATTATTTGATTATGAGACTAGTCGAAAGAGATCTTTAATTTCTTTCGTTACGATTAAGTGATTATTTTGAGTCTGCACCGACGAATTTTCGGGATATATTTGTTTCAGCTTCAACAAAGTGCTGTCCGCATTAATGCGGTTTAGATACAATCGATAGCGCTATGCCAAAGGCACAATACTGCAGAGCGAAATTTTGGAATCGCGGGTATGCTGGACCACGATGTGGTAAATGATAATAGTCGCTCCGAATTTACGTTTCGGAATTTTTCATTGCAGTCGTTTCTGATGAATGGAGCATGGACACAATACGTGGCGTATGGTTTAACATATTTTGCGTGATATATCGCGACGCCTTTTGCCACGAGGCCATTGATCGCTACTGCCACGGTATCCGTGCGATATTTCATACGTTTCGATGAGGTATTTTGAGATATAATCGTCGGAATCTGGAACCAGCAGCGACGCGATAAAAAGTCATAATGCCCTCATTTATAATGGCCTCAGACCAAGCACACAATCCTTCAGCGACAAATCGATATGCATTTTTGATCGTGTTAATTGGAAAATTAGTGACCCCGGAAACATGCAGATTCAGACCCCGCTTCCCCTCACCTCGCTCGTAACTAGGTTTGGTTAGCTAACGTTGGTTCATATTATGTTACGTATGGATCATATTCCAATTTTCCACAAACGGTTAAATAATCTCAAAATCAAAAGGTTCAAATATCTAGAGTAACAAAATTAAGAAATTGGGAAAGTTAAAAATCTCAAATACACAAAATTTAAAAAATTCTAAAAATATCTATATCTATCTGTTTTAATTTTATATAATACAATAATTTAAACAAATTCAGATATTTAAAGAAATATTTTTTAATTAAGGAAAGTATTAGAGAGAAGTCTTAGAAAGGATTTTAGATTAAAGGAATGCTAAAGTTTGAAAAATCGAAAGCTTGTTCGATGTGATTTAAAATCCAGAAACCTGAAAATCTAGACACACAAATATCTGCATAGTATGTAATACGTATATTTGAGCCGGCACGCTTCAGCGCACAACTCGACTATGAGTGAACGTAAATCGCCAGAGGGAAACGCTATACAAGGGGAAAAAGGGAAATACGTGAAGCTGAATGCGAGGGCGTAACGATGTAACGACTTTTGTGCGAGGAATGTGCGCGATACCCGTGACGAGCCCCGAGTGCGAGGAATCTCTACGGAATGCCCCGAGATACAGCAATATGCATATACGAGATGCAACTCGAGAGTTATGCATAGCATTAAATGTAAAGTGTAATACGCGAAAATGAGAGCCTTTTTAGCAGTGAGTTCTGATAATGATAATGAGATCATGATAATGGAATGTCAGTAATTTACTCTCTAAATCAGGATGATAAATAAAGATTTGGTAATTCAACACAATTTTTAATACACGGAAATGAAACTTTACAGTCATGGATTAATTTAGTCACGTAACTATCGTAAAAGACCGTTTTAACGGCAAAAACATTCCTTCAAAAGGGATCTTTTATAGTCTTATAAAGTGATATTAACGAAAATATGAAAATCTGATTTTTTTTTTAAGGAATGTTTTTATACTTAAAACTATTTTCTATCGAAATGAAATAGCTATGTAATTATATCTATATTTACTGCATTTCTATAAATACCTAGATATTTTGAATATTTGATTAGCCGAATCTTTCTTGTAAAATAAAGAAATTCGAATAGTTAGAATGTGATAATTATTAGAATTGACCAAATATTTTCATTGATTACCGCGTTTAAAAAAACATTCAATGATTTGAAAAAATTGTCAATTTGGACCATTTGTTTTATTTGAAAACGCCAGTAAATTCTAAATATACGAAACTTTAATAGCACAATATCAAATATCGGGGACACAAATTTTCACGCAGACAACCACTATCAAAAACCACAGTGGATTCACAGCGGTTGCTTCCGTGGCGTCTAGACGGGTGATGTATTTGACCGGAAGTGAGGTCGATCGATTATAGTGGAGAATGTATAACGATTGACGTGCCGCGGTGCATCGCTCAAGCGGATGTAACGGTATCGTATCGTAATTTCGGAAAACGACGCTCGAGGCAATGCTACACTCGCCGCAGTAGAAATACAAACAACGGGGACAGGGGGAGGGTAATACAACCTCTCTCTCTCTCTCTCTCTTTCCTCCCATTTCGAATTGCCAACTCTCCGGTCGCAGCCCCCGTCATCCCCTCCGCCGGTTTCTCTGCGATAAATTATGTGCGTAGCCCGTGGGGTAAACTGCGACCTGTGGCAGGTATGCAGTAACGATCGGAGGAGTTGGATTTGGACGGCTACATTTCCAACCGAACTTGCTTGATTTTGAGGGAAGCTTCATGATTATTGCAAATCGAAATTGTAATGTTGCCTGGGAACTTCATGATTATTGCAAATTATAACGTATCAAGGGAACGTTTCATGATTATTACAAATCAAAATTATAACGTTTTACACAATTTTATAGGATTTCTAAATTAAAACATATGTATTTATTTTATAAATTGTATATATGTTCCTGTATATGTATGTACCTATAAAAGTTTGAATACTCTCTCCTGTATATATATATATATATATACATACACATAACACTTTAATATACAAAAACAAGATGAGTTTTTGTGAAAAAAGCACAACTAATTCTGCATTACAATGAAAAATTATTCACAAAATATAATTGGTCACTTCTTTTCTGTAAAAAAATATAATTATGCTTAATTAACATTTTATTCATTTCTGTGAATATGGATCATAATTAAAATTTTTTCCGCAAACATATTTCAAAGCTTTTACAATGAAAATTGGAAAACCTTTTAAAGTTTATAAAATCTTGTGGATCTCGCGTTTAAATATTGAAAATTCATATTTTTATATTTCTATATTTCCTTTAATTTGATATCCCTTTGAAAAGGGAAATAGAGCATCAGAACGTTTTAAACATATCGACATTAAAGATGGAAGCCAAAATTAATCTTCATCGGGGTCAATACTGCATTATTGCAGCAAATGCGGATAAATTCTTGAATAATAAAAGACTATTACTGATAATAGAAATTCGAGTTAATCGCGTTCCAGCGGAAAGCGAAGCGTTACGGTATCGCGTTATTAAATGCAATAAAGCTTTTAGAGAACGCGTTTAAATGCATGAAGCGTAGTAGGACTCGCAGGACTTATCCCGCGGAACCTAGCCAGGACTCGCGAAGCGCTTATCCTGCGTGGCGGACAGGAAGCGGGCAGGTTCTACCTCGCGTCTAGACATATTTACGCGCACCACGATAACCGGACTGTCCTTTTTAAAGCGGAGCTTAAAAGCTTTCTGGCCCGAGAAAGAAAAAGTCATCCTACGCGGTGTGACCGCGACTTAAAACGAATACTAATGCGGCGTGGAAATGCCCCTAGATTTCTTCTTTTCCTCGTCTCACATTGCGCGCGTAATTTGTTTATCGCCGTAAATAGCCTTTATAAACTGCGGAAGCTTTGGTGTTTATAGTACAACAATCAGATGTAAATGTTGTAAAATTTTCGTTAAAATTTGTTGAATATAATTATTTAATTAATAAATAAAATTATAAAGAACATGTGGAAAAATACATGTTTATTTTCGTACGTCATGAATCTTGGAAGAAGTGCAATCGCTGCTGTTACTTTGAGGGAAGAGAGACGTGGACACCTTTATAGATGCTTTCTCGTTAGTTCAATCCTAGACTATGGCGTTGGACCAGATGCCGAGAATGTTCCGCATCTTGAGAAACGACTGCTACCATTACTTCTTGGACATTGATAAAAAGAACAGTCAACGGCTTGGAATAGAACGGCTAACACGATTCGCGCTATTCTTTCTAATG